CCTCAAAAAACGTATTAATACAACCACAATTCTATAAGCTGCAAAATGTTGACAACGAAGAAGATCGCATAACGAGATCGACCCATCATCTGTGCCTACAAAACGTTTTTGCTATTTCACTTTCTTTTTATATATTGTCTTAACTTATGATCTTATATCACGGAGTAATTAAATTCCCACTCTATCTACGTAGCATTTGCCTTCAAAATATATTTCTTTTTTAACTGTAAGACTTAAATTTAATGTGTTAAATAACGAAGAGGTCCGGAAATGTTATAAACTGTTCTGGAATCGTTACAAAATAAATATTTTATTAATGGGTTTGTTATAGAGTAGAAGGGTAGTTGTTTATGTAGAAGTTTGGTTGCTTAATTCTTGTAATACTCATTTTGTAAAGGTTTGTTCTTTATCAAGTGTATTTCTTTTGCAATATATACATTTTAAAGAAGGCTGCTATGCCTACTACTGGCTTGGTTAAACTATGATTTACAAGGCAGTTTACTTTCTTTCATAACTACCATAAGACGTGTAAATCTAATCCTTTCTGATCATTAAAGTGGCAAATTTACAGAAAACGTAAGATGCGGATAAGTTTAATCATCACAGAAATAAATCCAATACTATCAAACTTAATGAGTATAGGACTTTACATTCCTGGCAATTAAAAAAAAAACGAAGTATTGAGTTTAGGTTTTAATGATTTTTTTTATCATTATTACCATTTGTATTGTTTGTCTATAAGTGAATCAGTGAGTTTGTTGTCAATTCTATTGTAAAGGCTATTTTCTGAAGTCAGTAAGTTCATATATCAGTTTAACAACATTTACTGCCAATCCTCTTGTTAGAGTAGTTGATATTCTTACCTGTAAGAAATCTGTTTACCTGAGAATACCAGTCTGAGTGGCACTACTAATAATTATATAATGTTTTTAGTTTTCAACTTCCTTTGCATCATTAAAACATTATTATTATTATTTCGTTTTCTGAATTACAGATGACAAAGTTTGGTGATTATTCGTTTGTTGTTATTCATTAATTCTATTTATTCAATACTTGAATAATTCAGTCACTAGGCTATGCCTCTAAACTTCCAATGTGAGACTATCTGAAGCAACACAACATAGTTTCATGATATTACACGTAACATTAAAACATTTTTTGTAAAGTGTATTATTTTGATAACCTTCTGAATACCATACTACTATGATAAGATTTAATAAATTATATTAAATAAACCAAAACAGATAATAATTACCTGCCATAATCCCAACAAGTTTGCATTCATTATTTTTGGTGTCATAATATTCAAAAGATTCTTACACCTGTGTACTATGAAATATTATTATTTGATATTTCATATTTAGGAAAACGTTTTTAGATGCATATTTTTTCCTTTATATTCATTATCTCCTTTCTCTCTCTCTCTCTGTTCTAATAAAACGCTGTAGATTTGTTGAGTCTATAAAAATTAGTATTTTAGTAGAATAATTTCCTCATTAAGTTATTTCTATCTATGGCAAATATTCATATATATATAAGCTTCAATCCTTGGACTGTTCTCGTTTTCTCTTTTATTATTTCCTACCGGTTTCGTGACTTCAAAGATTACTCTTCAGGATGTAAATTTACAGAGAATCTATAATAAAATGGTTGAAATACCTTTTTTTCAAATATACTTAAATAACCTGCATTAACCCCTTTCGTGCCAATTTCTGTTTTTTGGAAACAGGCTAAAAAAAGGTCAGGTTTTTATTTCGCTTTTGATAGCTTATACTTATATATTAATGAAATACAGATTCTTATATGATTTGTTATTATATTTTTGCATAAGATATACTCGATAAATAAATGTTACACATCTGGTTTTACACGTGATATACAGTACTGCGCAAAAGTATTAGGACAAAAAATATTTTGTCATTCTTTCCATTTCATGGGGCTAATTCTTCCATGCCATTACAGAATGTAAATGCTAACACTATGTTAATGCTTCACTGACCCCTGTTGACAATTGAATGAGCCAGGGTGAGAATACTTATCCCTCTTTAGAATTCCCATAAACTTGTACCAAGGACGTGTCATAAGGGTTCTGCTTGAATGAACATACTGATCAAATTTAGGGTCTCAAATAACTGTCAAGGTACACCATGCAGTGTCTTAATTATATGGTGTTATGTATTGATAATTTGAGATAATCCGAAGCCGAGTTAAATAATTTAGATTTTAATAGTTAAATTGTACCCTGGATTTAGTGTCTAGAAATATGACGATATTTTATTTTATTTATGTTATTTGCCAACAAGATTGATTCACGCCGTTTTCGTTTTTCACACAAATAAATTTTAATATATATATACAACCCTATAAATTACAATAGCAACTATTATGATTAATTATTACAAACAAAGTTTCATAAACAGAAATTTCACAAATTACAAATAGCCTAAATTCGTCTTCCTAGTTCAGAGTCTCCTTGGTATCTAGCGAGTTAACTTGAGGTCGATGTACGTACAATTGTCGGGAAGCTAGCTAGCTTTGTCAGGCACTAAATTGTTGGAACGTTGAAGTAAGATGATATTTTCATAAAACCACCAATGTCCATTGAGAAACCAGCAATATTTTTGGAAAGATACTAACGTTTGATGAGAATTCACTGACGTTCGAAATTTATAGCTGTTCCTGATCAAATGTCGTATATTTTCTGGTTGGTAAGGGTTAGAAAAATTACCATTTACAGCGTACACATGGTTATAACAGTTTCCTAGCAGACGTGATTGTTTCTTCTTTGGCCTTGGTATTTTTATACGAGCAGGCAATGCTTTCATTGAACGTTCGGACAATACTGATTATCGAAATGGACATATTGTTGATTCTTGTGTTCACGAATATTCTACAACCTTGGATAATTGGAAGGAGTTTTGCCATACATAACTAACACGGTAAGCTAAACACGCCCTCAAATATAAACTTATTCGAAACAAATGTTGATATTAAAATAGATATATGACAAATTCGTTGTACGCAACATATATCTGATACTACAAGTCACGCATATTTCTAAATACAAATTCAATTCAAACAACGTTCATATTAAAAATAAATACATAATGATAAATTCGTTACAATGGAAAGAAACTAGCAAGGAGCTAGCATTTATCTCAACTCCAAAATTGTTACAATATTTTTTAACATATAGTTTCTAAGATGGTATAAATATATTTAGTAAAGCTGAGCTATCATGAAGCATTTGTTACAAAGTTTCTTTTTTATTTTAATTATTCAACTGAGGTTAATGTACATACACACTAGAATATATTAAAACTCTTAAAAAGATAAAGGTTTTGCTTTTGTTATATTACTTAAATATCATAAACAGACGTTTGGTGAATTATAAAATTTACTTTCTTTGTGATATGTTATGAAACATTCTTTTCTACTCTTGTCAAGTTTTATACTATTTTACAATATGTGAGAATACTTATACCCTTATATATAAAATTATTTGTAAAACGTCTTATTTGAAATAAATAATGTATTTTTATGTCATTAAACTTTAAAAAGTTCAATTAAAGTATATACCAATTTTAATTATATCTTATATTGGAAATTTACAGGCGTGGTAAAATTATCATTTACATGCGGAAGAATATTAAGGTTTAAAATAAAATAACACTTAATGTTTATATTAAAGCAATATCAATGTTTTTAAATGTACCAAATAGGGTACGAATATAATAAAATTAGATTTTATTGAACATTTATAACACTAATGTTTGTACAGTTTAACTATGAAAGATATTCTTTGTTTAGTTCTATTAGTGACCCAAACTGCAGTATCTGTTTTTTTTGTGGGTCCTTCAAGTAAGCGTGTTTCTTTTTCCACGTTTTTTGTCTATGTGGCGTTATTCTTGTATAAGAACATAGATTATATTTGTTATAGACAGCGTTCGGAACATAATTTATACATTAGCAATTAGAGTCTTTGAAAGTTGAAAATTTATTTTCTTAATCAGGTTTCAGAAATTTCCCAGATGAGTGTATTACAACATCGCTTAAGTGCAGCTTTAACTTCCAAAAAAATTGAAAATCTTCCGCTTGTATAAATATTTAAACGCAAGAAATGATGACACATTGACGACAAATGTGTGTAACAGTAATAGTCTTTTCCTGATTTTTTAACCTAATGTTTGGGCTACAATGTCCACAAAAATTAAGCTATTTAGAAATCATTCATGATAAACGGATTTTAAACACTGTATTTATAGGAAAAGTCCATAATTAAACTAGACCTACAGTTTGATAAGTATTTCTTTGAAACTCTATGCGTGTATATTACAGTTCAGCAGTGTAAATGGTTATACTAAGATAAACCTATGTAAGTGTAACATATTTGATATTTTTTCTCGAAGTGCAGCGCAAAAGTATTTTGAGAGGGCAGTCTTATATAAAAATCGCTAAATAAAGAAGCATCCTAAGGAATTAAAAAATGAATAAAAACTTTTACTCACAAGATTGTCTAAACTAACATTGACAAAATTTTTAACGACAATAAAAAAAACGATGTAACATCATAAGAAAACTATTCATAATTTATTAGCTTATACTTCAGTAGTTTTCATGAGTTTCTACCAAGAATAACTCAGTAATTAATGACTCTACTGAATTAAAGTTCACGAAACACAAGAGTTTAGAAGTTTCAGCAAATTCTATATCTTGGAAAACCACCTATCCTAAATTACCAGCGGAACTCGTTAAAAAAATGTATTGTCGAAATAAAAGTTACACGAATTTACCTGATCGTAAAAAGCTGAGAGTAGAATTAGTCTACTAAGAAAAAAAAAATTTTTTTATTTTGTAATTCTTGAATTTGACCAGAAGTGAATTTTATGTCGAAGTTTCCTTTAGAAAAGTTCATGTTTTGGAAATAATTTAAGTTAGACGTTTTGAAAATAAGTATCTGAAAGCAACGAGACCTTCGGCGAAGTAATATATACCTTAAAAGAGTTTAGTAATGTATTTACAATTTTGTCTATACAAATATATGGGTTGAAGAGACTGCTACAAATGTAGATCAAAACACCTTTATTTTGATAATTAATTACAAGCACAGTTTAGAATAATTCATATACTTATTTATTTTACACCATCTCAAAAATTACCAATTCTACGTATGCCACTAACTGAAGTTTATGATAATATTAGTTAAAGAAATATGGCAACTACTGAACAAGTCACGCACTCAACCAAACTGCATTTATCGCCATGTCAACGAGAAAGTCTTTTGTGGTATTTGAATCATTTCTTATAATCATGTTCCCATATCTAGTGTCATTGTTATTTCTTAGCGTCTTTTATGTCCAAGAATGGACTTACTTTTTCTCTTCCTGAAACAAGAAAGAAAAGCATTAATAGTTAGGCTATTATAAAACTTCATTATCTGATTTTATATTGTGCACGTTTTACAGCGATAAGTCTGAGGACTTATAATTCTAAAAATCGGGTTTCTATACCCACGGTGGGCAGAGCACAGAGAGCCCATTAGGTAGATTTGTGTTTAACAACAAACAAACTAAATATTACAAATAATAAATATACAAACAAATAAAATGATTCAAAACTAATATCACAGATAAATTTAAGCTTTTAAATACTACAACTTAAAGCCTTAACATTAACTTTGTATGCAGAACTAACCACATTGATTTCAGGCCTCAAGCTGTGTGTCAAAATATTCGCTTTTATGCGGAGGCTCTTTTCATCATTGGCCCAGTATTCTTAAACAAATTATAATATGAAGTTATCGTTATATAATTTATTTATGTGGAAACAAAATTCTTCATTTTATTGAATAATTATGATCTTAACTTCCGTGATGTCTTTTATAGCTTCTGTTTATTTGTAGTAATATTTTTTTAATACTTAGTATTTCTTTAAACTGTTGGGCTAGCTCTGTTAAAACTTTGCAAAATCTCTGGTCACACTTTTTTTGTTATTTATTGAGATATTTCAAACACACTTAATATTTTTATAAGATGTTTCAGAGTTATAGCTATATTTTGCCCCCACCCAGTGGCACAGCAGAATGTCTGAGGACTTACAACGCTAAAAGCCGGGTTTCGCTACCCGTGGTGGGCAGAGCACAAATAGCCCATTGTGTAGCTTTGTGCTTAATTACAAACAAACAAAGCCATATTTTTACGCTAAACTTCACTCCGACACATTATTATTTTTCAGGCGTGCAAACTCCTCAGACTTTCAACTTTATGATAAACATGTGAATTTCAGACCCATTAAAGATAAACAACGGAATAAGTTATAAATCCACGCTTGTTGTGTGTTTCAAAATTCGACAAAATAACTTACTGCAGTAATTTAATTTTTCCAGGTATCAGAATAGATGACTTATTTCAAATTAATCCCAATTCTAATTACGCCTAGTCTCACTCAACAGCCAGCGTAAACACTTTGCAAAGGTTCAGAGAACCACGTGGGGGACATTCTGAGCTTTCGATTGGTTATTCATACGTCGTAGACAGAAGTAGGTGTACATAAGCAAGTGTTTTCAAAAATGGAGAGAGGTGGGCGGAGCACTGTGTTTGATTCAGTACACGTAGCGATATCTCAGCAAATAGAAAAGATAAGAGGTTCTTATTTTATATTTTAGCTTGCTAATGTCGGTAGTTTGAATTTCTAAGTCATAAGATTTGTTTGAACAAAATTGATTTATGAAGTTTTGGGACCTCTTACGCCTGGAGGCTCTGGAGCAAGTGCCCTTTTTGCCCATATGTTAATCCACCATTGTCAGCAGCCCAGGTTATCTATCTAGGAGCAAACAATATCGTGAGGTCTTAATGTTGACTTGAACCCTAAATGGTAATGCTGACCATATCTCTAACCATTTGTGTCGACAGAGTTTTCTGGTTTACTGAACTTCATTTGCTGTTTCTATAATTAAGAAAGTGTATATTACAACTTGCAAGAAAACACAACTTACAGATTAAAATGAAAATTTCTCGCATATAAATATATATACGTTTGAGTGTGAGTTCCTCGTTCTACATTCTGTAGTAGTCGCAAAGATGTGATATTCTTAGCCTTAAAATGTAAGCTTAATTGTGAAATTATTCCTGACTTTGCTACATACGGAATATTCATGTCAATCCATTTTATGAACAGTTCAGATAAGAGAGATTTGTTAATATTACCTTTGCAGTTAACTTTATCTTCATCTTCACAATCGGCAAATCGTTCATTTTCAACAACTTCTTCCTTAAATAACTTTCCAGACGGGCATTCTTTCAACACTGCGATGTTATTTTTACAGTCGTAGTACTTTTTGCACAGTCTCTCGTGTGGGAACAGACCATTTTCAAAAGGACAGTTAAATACGAGCGCTAATAAAAAACAAGAAGAAGGCATATGTAATATAATAATGAACAAACATAGAGAAACATTTGTTAGATTCATAACATTACGACTTCACGTCACTTGGACAAAGTGATGTGAAAAAACTGAAAATTTCAGCTGATTATATAACTGAAGGCGTAGGGTACATTTCAACGTTCTAAACACAACAAATATAAAAACTAAAATCACACATATAAAAGTTGTATTATCTACGTGTCTAAAGCGCTATCTTAACCTCAATAACTGTGATTGTTTCAAATTACACGACTAAAACTCCAGTGAGATTCGATAAAATGGACTTACTAAAAGTTTTGCAAACAAACATAAATAACCTGCACTTACTGAATGACATTGTTCACATAAATACCAATAAACTTACAACACCTTGCTTCCAGTTACTAGATTTAACATTTAAAGATTTCTTACTTACACTTATGCAATAAAAAATGTTTGTTTGTTATGAATTTCGTGCAAAGCTACACGAGGGCTGTCTGCGCTAGCCATCCCTAATTTAGCAGTGTAAGACTAGATGGAAGGCAGCTAGTCATACCCACCCATCGCCAACTCTTGGGCTACTCCTTTACCAACGAATAGTGGGATTGACCATCACATTATAAAGCCCTCACGGCTGAAAGGGCGAGCATGTTTGGTGTGACGGGGATTCGAACCCGCGACCTGCAGATTGCGAGTCGAGTGCCCTAACCACCTGGCCATGCCGGGCCCATATAAAAAAAAATTAACCTAAGCTTCGAAACAATACTTTACTGGTTTCATTTGATCCATTGGTTTATTATAGAACATTAAACCAATTTTCTTTAGGTGAGTAAACATTTCTGAGGAATACAGGGGGTTATATTGAACGTTATATTGAAATGATTTTGAATATTCAAAACAGCAAGTCGGGTGACAACCACAGCCGATATAATTCGCGGTGGAACGGCATGCATTAGAATCACATTTTTACATTGTTTGGCGTTATGTAGGTACCGTGATGCCACAGAAAGTTGATTGTTTTGGGAAGGGTGTTTAACAGCCTTTTGCAACGTAAAATATTCATACACTCAGATCACGAAGATATGTTCAGATCGGCGATCTAGAATTTCCGATAACCGAATATCCCTTATACTTAATTACATTGAATATCAAAGGAATGTGGATCAGCTTGGGGGATTAAAACCATCTAAAAAGAAGCCTGCCACAAGTTATACTCCAGCCGCAGCAAGCAAAGTACGGCGTCTTATTACACGTGAAATTTCCCGAGCATAAAAGTCAGTGGCAAAAGTCATCCACAAACCCAAGACACAACATAATCAAGAAAAATCTCCGTCTGGAAACAAACCTACAGGGTATGGGTTTCCCAACATGAAGGTTCTAGTCATATCTCTTGTTCAACCATCGCATACCTCAAGAGCTGGATAATAAAACGGGTATTCGGGTTATTCTATGTGAACATATACTGGTCACGTCACCTACGGATTTGAGTGCGAGCTACCTGTTGAAACTGTTGCTTCTTCATTTGATAGATTTTGGAAAGTTTCTGGAAGGAGTGGGATGCTTTGGATATGATACTCCTAGAATAGAGCCTTTCCAATGAAAAGTACATTGCAGTGCTACTGTCAAGACGTTTTTGTTTGTTCGTAATTAAGAACAAAGCTACACAATGGGCTTTCTGTGCTCTGCCCACCATGGGTATCGAAACTCGGACTCTAGCGTTGTAAATCCGCAGATATACCGCTGGGCCACTGGGGGGCGTGTCAAGACGTATGGTCATCAAATAGAGTATTACCGGAAGTAGCGACACAGACTACAACAACGTAGTAAGTCTCCAAAATCATTTTAATATAATGTACCCAACCCTCTGATTCTGTAGCGGTACAGTTTAGTCTAATAGTAGATTTAAAGAGAAGCTTCATATCAAAGTTAGACTATCACCAACAGTGATAATCCAAGCACTTATATCGATCAACTTTGAAACATTCAGTTATGAAAACAAGACAAGCTTAAGTAACTATAAACTTTAATAAAGTGCAACAGAACTGGTGAAGTGATCCCTTGAGAAGCAATTATATAATAAAAAACCTGCAGAACTAGTTCTTAAAAATAAAAATAAATAAAAACTTACAAATAATACTAGATTTTTTCTAATATTTACATCTAAGATTATTTTTGTATTAGTGTATATTGAACTTTGTGTATTTTAGATAGTTTTAGTGATGTAATATATATAATGCTGCTATTTTAAACTTGAACGGCAACTTACGAAACAAGCAGGCTAAATGGCTATGTCAGACACCCCTATGGTTTAGGCATAGCTATCTTTTTTAAGAACCACTGGCCAGAGGGAGAACAATGAGAATCTTATATCGATAAATTTGCTGTTTCTTAGATCGGTTTAGGCGTGGTTAAGTAGTTGACATGCCGGGCTGCGTATCAGTGATTCAAACTTTTAGCTGCATTATGCCACTGAATTCACTCCGTGCTCTCAGTTATAAAGGCACTATAACCATGGTTATCAGTCTAGCTATTATGTTAAGAGTAGATGCATAATAGTCTCTGACTGGTTGTTCTCCCCGCCATGTTAACTACTTAGCCACGCCTAAAACGATATAGAGGAAATTTTCAGTTTAAGAAACAGAAAATTTACAGAAAAAAGATTCTCATAAATTTTAAAATTTAGCACAAAAGAGCTGAAAACTCTAAAGAACGTCTTTGTTCAAAGAAAATATGCTAGAATTAGCTTTAACTTCCAATTATTATTCTACTACTTAAGTTAATGGAATATAATAGCAATCGCTTTATAAAGATCATTACAAGAAGTAGATGGTCTTTCTGTAGTTGTTGTTATTAGACCTTGACATTCTACAAAATTATGCTTAATCAAGAATCCACGTCGGGTGATACAACTGTCGGTGATGAACTGAATAGCCAAAGCGTCCTTTCCTTGTTCAACAGGCCACAAAACTGAAAGAATAAAAACATATAACTATACAATACTTGTAAACTATATATATTTTAAATTTTGGAATCTTCTTGTTTATATTTCGCTTAGTACCATCTGAAGCGTGATAAAAATGAACTATCCTAAAATACAAACCACAATAATTCATTTTGTGATGACTGATGTAATTTCAATCGTTAATATTTCGGAAATGTTTATTTCACTCTATCTACCATCATAATGTTTTGCTTATTAAACTTAAAATGTGTAAAGAGACCAGTGGACGTCTTTTTTCGGTAAGTTGATGTGGAAAATCCATTAGCATTACAGTTAATGAGCATGTCTAAAAAAGGTAAATTATTATTATTTTCAACGTCACATGTAAATTTAATGGCAGGATGTTGTGAGTTAAAGTATTCTAAAAATTTTGAGCATTGATCACTGTTATTAAAAAGAATAAAAGTATCATCCACATACCTTCTGTATAGAACAGGCCTAAAGTTAACTGGACAGGTGTCAAGGCATTTCTGTTCGTAATGAGAGAGAAATGCATTGGCTAAAGTTGGACCTAGTGAATATAGCCCCCCAGTCGCTCAGCGGTAAGTCTAAAGACTTATAATGCTAAAAATCGAGTTTCGATACCAATCGTGGGCACAATATAGATAGTCCTTTGTGTAACTTTGTGTCGAAATTCACAAAAGACAACAACAAATAAATCATTAATGGGTGTAAGTGACTTGCCACAGAAATCTTCGGTATGAAAAGATTTAAAACAAGCTGAAAGTGGTTAGATTATTAATAAATTATTCTGAAGAAATAATTCAATTCTAGAAAATACTTGGTTCATTCTTATTGAAATAATTATTATCTAAAATTTGAAATGTTGAAATGTTATAAGAATAGTAACTGCAGTGACATGAGGAACAGCAGAAAATATCATACAGAGTTAAATATCAATTTCTGTCTTTGACTGTGTTGAAGAAAGAGACAGCGCACAATGTGAAAACAAGGTTATAAATAATATTTATTTAAAATCAACAAAAGTCAAATCGAAAAGTGTACCATAACACTGAACAGCAGTACTCTCGCTAGCTACTGAGATCTCTCTGTGTCAGAAGTAGGTCTGACCAAAATCTGAATAGGACTGAGAGAACTGGCCACAGTAACATCACCACTCCATGAGTGTTATGTACAAACCACGTCAAACGTAAAACTATGAAGGACACATCTACAGGTGTCATTACATAGATATTTTTAGTATAGATAAACTGTATAATAATAAACTCTGATGCACTAAAAGGGAACGACCTAAGACTTTGAGCAACTAAAACACTAGTAGGTTAGACATATTGCATAACTAGTTTAGCTATACGGCAAACTTAAATGAGCGTTCGTGTGCGTGTATGTGCGAAAAAGTAAGGACATTTTAGGCGAACATAAAATGTTCACCTGTTTAAACTAAAATGGAAAAGAAACATATCACACACACACGATAATATTGTTAAAATATATGAAATAAAGATAACGTTTTAAAAAACCGTTAAATAATGATAGACAAGCTTCGACAAAATAGTAATTATTTACCCGTATATCCTTTAGGCAAATCGTCACAAAGACGGTCTTCGCCAACTTGTAGATAATCTTTAGTGCAGCCGTTGCTTGGTTGGACTGAAAAATCCACAACTGTTAGATTCAACCAACAGGCGTTAATACTGGACATACTGAATCTGAATGTGGTATTGATGTTGTTACGATAATGAAGTGGGTAGTTGTAGCTTTTTATGTCTTCATTTCCTTTGACTATTATTTCTCTGTGGCTCAGTGCATTTGCTCCACCTATTAAAAAATAACACTACACAGTAATGTATACTTACACTGAATATACGGTATTATAATGGAAGTATATACACTTCAAACACTTATATATATAGTTTTCTATCATTATTCACGACAAATATTTCTGACATGTTCTGAGCTACCTAGCCGTGTTTCTCTTTCTTATGCAGATAAATTAGTGACTTACAGTGTTGAATTTGTTGGGCTACACATGAAAGATTTTAAAACATATATGAAGCCATAAAATCCAAATTATCACCTCTGAAATATCAGCTTCCTACGAGAGGCCAAATCTATCCATAAAATATCATATTCTTATTTATAATCTATATCTATCTATATATATAACGATAAAAGAACGGTAAATTAGATGCGTCAGGTAAGAATGCTTGAACTACCTATCTTCTGTAACTATAACTTATGGGGCATCACGGAGTTTTTTGACCATCAAAAATGTTCTAACTCCCAACCTCCTTGAATAAACAGAAAACGTATCACTAAATCTAGCCCTTATTCAACCCCTCCCAAATATCCACCATCCCTTTTATTAAACTCCTGCAAAATTGTAGACTTTACCACTCTAGATGACGTTTATCATCCTATTGGAGAAATAAATGCCTCAAATGGAGATTTGTCTGACTTTTCCAAATCTGAAATTACGACCTCTTATATTTTTCCTCAGAAATCAAAGAAATAGAAAAAAATTTAAAATGAAAAACTTTCTGTAATGTTTTAGTGTTTTATTATTTTTGAACTAAAAAATAAATAAATAAAAATTGGCCCAGCATGGCTTGACTCGTACTCTCAGGGTCGCGGGTTCGAATCCCAGTCCTACCAAAAATAATCGCACTTTCAACCATGGGGACGTTATAATGTGACGTTCAATCCCATTATTCGTTGGTTAAAAAGTAGTCCAAGAGTTGACGGTGGGTGGTTATGACTAGCTGCCTTCTCTCTAGTCTTTCACTACTACATAGGGATGGCTTGCGCAGGTAGCCCTTGTATAGCTTTGCGCGAAATTCAAACCAAACCAAAAGAAATATTGAATTATTATTTGACATAATATGTTGAAATTAAAGTATAGTGTTAGCTAAAATGTTTGCATATATTGTAACAAGTAAGATCGTTATTATTAAGATGGAATACAAATACACTTAGCACTGTCAAACTGAGAAATGAATGTCATATTGTTGCGTCAGCGAGATCACGTGACTATTGTCACGCCACCTGCTTTCTAGAACTATCCCGTCCCTTCGGGAGTGCTCTAGCATTTACTAGATATATGTTTGTCTGGTATATATACACCTGGAAAAAAGTTAAGCACCCCCAAATATTTTTCAGGATTGCTTATTGAAAATAAGTTTAATTTTCATGATGTTGAGCAATGTTCATAATTTCAAACATAATTAAAAGGATGTGAGCGTTCAGGTGTGAC